TTCATGTATAATTGTATATGCACATATCTAACCTCAACCCCTAAACCCTCATTGAGAGGCTGGGCGCGCGCCATGTGGCAGCTTTTGCCTTCAAGGCTGCCGAGACCACTGCCAGGGCTGCTGCCAGGCTTCTGCTGACTGCGCCCGAAGGCCAGGGATTCTTTGTTTTATGTCTATTATTATTGTTGTTGTTATTATCATTGTTGTTATTTCTATTATACATGTTGTTACTACTGTTGTTTTTCTTTTTCTATTATATACTTCGACTCTATTGATATTATCATTATTTCTATTGTTGCCAGCGCGAGTATTATCAATGATATGTATGATTCTATATCTGTATGCAGAGCCAGACCGTTTATGGTTTAGGGTTATATATGCTTATATATATATATATACCTAGTGTTATACGGGAGTTAGGGATATCAGGGGTTATATAGGGCTAAGTAGGGCTATATAGGGATTGTATTTTAGGCTTTAGGCATTTAGGGTTTTGGGGCTTAGTAGTAGCAGCAGCAGTGGTAGCAGCAGAGGAGGAGGAGAGGTAGTCATAGTCGTAGTGGTACTGTGCCCATACCGTAGTGATTTTGAGGTATCTCCCTGAGCATACGGCAAGCATCAAGTAGACAACGCACTGTCGCATTTGCCCTCAACTTCCTCAATAATGAGTTCGGTACGTACTGACTGTCGCTGCGCTACTGCACTCTGGATGGCTCAGACTTCTTTCATGATGAGTCATATTGAGGAGGCCTCAAGCTGCAAATGAGCCCTCCCTGCAAATCACATAAGACCTTCATGCAGGGAAAAGCCCCCAAGCGTTAGGAATTCGTGGATGCATTTAGTTAAAGGCAGTCCACTTCTTTACCACATAAGAATCCCTACTAATCGCATGGCTTGAAGTGCTTCCCATTGACCTGGTGACCTGAAAGTGCAGCGGACCAGGATGGGCGCATATTCCTCAGCTGGACCCCAAAAAGGGGTAGGTTGAGTGGCTTATGAGCTCTAGTTGCGGTAGGGTCTAGAACATCATAGTCCCTAGAATCCATTCCCTCAGGCTTCACAAGGTCTAACGGCCCCCTAAACCCTAAACCCTAAACCCTAATCCTCGTAGCAATGCACTCAACCTGGGAGGCTTTCATTTCCTAGCGGATGAAGACTGCAGTCCTGACAGCAGCGCTGCCCTGCTGCCTCTGCAGCTTGGACGTGGCAACATGAGCTATGGACTACACACCTTAAAGGGGGATTATGTAGGGCATTATATAGGGGGCTACTATAAGGGGCATTCAGGGGGATACTAGGAGTTTAGACTATAGTTCACAGGTTTTAGGGTTTAAGGTTTAGGGCTCAGGTTTTAGGTTTAGGGAATTCAGCTCGGGGTTTCTAGTACCAGGATATGCCAGTAGACTTATGAAGTCTCCATCAAAACCCAAGGAAGGGTAGATCGAGGGGCTCGGAAGGTCCAGAAACTAATCCTGACTGTCAAGTTGAGGTCAATGGTACCCAAAGCACGAGTCACGTTGAGTCGGACTTTTGCGTCCGTGCATGGCTGGCTGCGTACAACCCATGGGTGGCCCTACTACTCCCTTATCTCTAGGTTCCCCCTAAGTTAGCTCAAGCAAGGCCTCATTGTCCTTGAACGCCCTTAATTCCAGGAGAAACTTTGCAGGGCGGTATAGGCGGGGGCGGCGCGGAACTTATAAAAGAATGTTGAAAGCTGCAACAGTACGGTTGCGTATGCAGCAGATGTTGTCGCGCGATCGTCTTGCTTGCAAGTTGATGATGGCATGAAGCTGTGACCCATTCTATGTGGGGCAGTGTCGCGAACTGTTCTAAACAATGGCAGTGGCACACTGAGCATGCTTGAGCAGCTCGGACTGTTGCTCCCATTTAGGCATGTGATGTTTTCGGGCACCTATGCAGTGAACAAATCTAATGTTTTTTCGGTGCCAATTTGTCAAGGCTATTGTTTTCTGTGAGCAGCCGTCATAACAAGCCTCCACTTTCGAACGTAAAGCCACCCCCACTATAGTTCCCCAACACACCTTGGTATTACATTGGTACTGCACCCCTCCCCCAAAGTAACATCGAACTGCAAATAGCCCCCCTTAGAGGAAGAGTAGTCTTTCTAGGGTCATTGTAGTTTTGGCTTAGAACCCTAAACACTGAAACCCTAACGTCCTAACCTCAAGCATCCCAAACCGCAGAATCCTGAAACCCTAAAGCCCTCACCACCCTGAAGTCCGAAATCTCTGAAATCCCAAGTCCCTGTAAATGGTACTTGCCATTTTCTTCTCCTCTGCCCCTATGTATCCCTGGGAGGAATCTATCCCAATATAACCCCAATATAGTCCGTAAATCTACACCCCGAAACCCCGTAAACTCCACACCCCTTACATATAGTCCTCCTTAAGTAGATAGAATATGGCTTTGGGTATATTAGAATAACATCCCCGTATACCCCATATTCTATCTACTGAAGGGGCACTAGAACCCCAATATATACATATATATATACATAATATCGTAGTTTCCTTTCTCTTTTCCGTTATTCCTATATAACACCAATAATATACCCCATATTCTATCTACTTAAGGGGGGACTATACACCCTAAACCCTAAATAGGGTACCCCAAAAAGGGATCATCCTTTTCACATCCACCCTAAACCCTAAACCCTAAACAGACGTGTTTTGCAAGTCTTAGTCGAGGCCAAGCGCGCCCAAAGCTGCTTTCTCCGGTGGCCTCGAGCTTCCGGGTTGCTGTTAAGGAACTTAAATTAAGTTACTATAATGGTTTTTTTTTGGTAAATAATAGGGTTTCCCCAATATAGTACCCTAAACCCTAAACCCTATTATGGGTTTCCCCAATATAGTAACTTAATTTAAGTTCCTTAACAGCAACCCAGGCTTCCGGTGGGCTGGTGCACGGCGAGCCGCAGGAGAATTTTAGGTCTAGGGAATATTAATTCCCTGAGGGTCCAAGTACCCAAATAATGGTGGGTTTAGGGCCCAAATACCATTAATAGTATAGTATTTGGGCCCCGAAACCCTATTATATGGGGCCTTGGACCCTGTAGGTCCGGGTTTAGGGTTTAGGGTCTTCTTGGAGTAGGGGTTATAATACGACACTACCAAATCTCAGTACTTTTCGCTGCAACCGATAGCTATGAAACAGATGATGGAGGGATGTTTGACGATATGCAGTCCAGCCCCGTCTTTTGCACCTGGAGTCTGAGTCTGTGTAGGTCTTAGGCACCTCCCCCAGAAGGCTCCATGCCTCATGCAAAACCAGAAATTTCAAGTCTCCACTCTGCAAAATCGTGGGTTCCCAACCACCATCCCCTCTACTGCCTCCTTTTTACTAGAGGGTTAAGCACGTGCAGCCAGATTACAGAGTCGTTGGGCTCCCATGTCAGTTTTCTTGGACATTTCGTAGATAAGATTTGAGAAAAGTTAGCAGCTTGATCAGCTAAGATAAAGAAGCCTCCACATTCCTCAACTACGACGTCGGCTGCCAGGCATCGATAATCATATTTCATTAATATTACCAAAATCATACCAATATTCCTTCCTCTCTTATCTTTTGCTATCATCATTACTATCTTATCTCATATTCCAAATACTATTTTGTTATCGTTCTGTGAGCCGATGAGCTTGTTGGAGCCAGGTTTCTGATATTTGTAAACGTGTTCAAACAGAGGACAAGCCAAAACCTGCCAGCAGAGGGCGTTTCAGAGGGAACATTAGGCTGGCAGTTGGTGAGCTTGATAATAGTAATAATATGTGCCCTATATCAATAATATATGCCCTATAATAAGATAGTAGCTTCCATTTTCTTTTCCATAATCCCTATAAAAGCTCTTATCCTGTTCAGGTCGGACTTCAACATTAATGCTGGCCTGCTTTCAGAAGCTGACCCAGAATGATGAGTTTTGAGTGTCAGGCCGAAGTATTGGCATTTTACTCCTTGCAATTTTGGGGCTCAAGCACCGTCGGCTAGTTTTGCTTGTACGCACCGTTGAAAACATTCTCGTGGAGTTCCTTGCCAATGGCGGAAACCTTCGCATTCAATGCGGATATCCAGCAGCTGATGAGCTTCTAGACTTACAGGGGATGCGGCCATGGATTCTTATAGTAATCCCTATAGAAACGCCATTCCACAAGTCTTCAGAGTGTTTAAAATCCCAACTAATTGCGACTTAATAGACGACCACCGGGCGAAGCTCCAGGTCGTGTCAGCTTAGTTCTGACAATCTTTGAACAATGCAAGCTGAATTCAAGCCACCAACATCGTGAAGAACAGGTCTTAGGCTTGTTTGATCATGAACCTTCTACTCCAACAGGGCAGCCTTCAAGGTATTAGTAAGGGTACGTAGGGAATCGTCGGGCTTCTTGAGGATCTTGAAGCTTGCAGATCCTAGATATTCTGGGGCTCTTCTCTTGGGGGGGGGTTCCCCCTAAACCCTAAACCCTAAACCTCAAAATTCCATGATCTTAGGCTTGATCATCAACACCTTCTACTCCAACAAGGAGATCTTCCTGCGTGAGCTCATCTCCAATGCCTCCGATGCTCTGGATAAGATTCGGTATGAGTCCATTACCGATCCGGACAAGATCGAGGCGTTGTCTTGGGGTTTGGGATGTCTGAGGTTTCAATAGGATTTGCTTTCATAGGGTTTGCGTTTTTTTCATGCAGGATTTTAAGGAGTTTCGGCTTTTAGGCTTTAGGATCAATAAGAAAGTGATGAGTTTCAGGCCCAGCCGAACTTCTTTATCAAGATCATTCCAGACAAGACCAATTCGACCCTGACCATCGAAGACTCCGCATCGGCATGACGAAGAATGAGCTGATCAACAATTTAGGAAACTGGGTTGCTGTGAAGGAATTTAGATTACTATAAGAAACCCTCTTACTTACTATATACCCATAGTACCCTAAACCCGAAAACCTATATGCTTTTTATTATAGAAGCTACTTTAAGTTCCTTAACAGCAACCCAGGAACAATCGCCAAGTCTGGCACGAAAGCTTTTATGGAGGCTATGGCTGCCGGTGGCGACATCTCCATGCTTCTGGGTACAGTTGAGTATCGTTTCCAAGCCTTTCAATACCCAAATTTCCCCCCCCCCCCTCCAAAAAAAAAAAAGTTCCACCTTGTCTACCCCAAATAATAGCATCCTTAGTATACAGACTCCCAAAAATTGCTTGAATGTTTTCTTGGATCTTTTTTCGGAACCCCAACAACTGGGTCAGGATTGGCCAGTTCGGCGTGGGCTTCTACAGCGCCTACCTGGTCTCCGACAAGGTCCGCGTGGTGTCCAAGCACAATGATGATGAACAGTACATCTGGGAGACTTAGCTATGTTTAGTTGCGAGCTGGGGGAGCTGCATCCAAGTTGTAGCTTTTTTCCTTAGAATGACCCCCGCAACACATTTCCCCATTCCAGCACGAATAAGGAGAGCGGTGCCGGAGGCTCCTTCACTGTCCAGAAGGACACGGAGCTCGTGCACGGTGAGATTAAGCGTGGCACGAAGATCATTTGCTACCTCAAGGAGGACCAGTCTGAGTTCTTGGAGGAGCGACGCCTGAAGGACCTGGTGAAGAAGCACTCTGAGTTCATCGGCTTCCCTATTGAGCTGTATGTGGAGAAGTCCAAGGAGAAGGAGGTCACCGACTCTGAGGAGGAGGAAGAAGAGAAGAAGGAGGAGAAGGAGGGCGATGAGCCCAAGATCGAGGAAGTCGACGAGGAGAAGGAGAAGGAAGAGAAGAAGAAGAAAACCAAGAAGGTCAAGGAGGTCTCGCACGAGTGGGAGCAGCTGAACAAGAACAAGCCGCTTTGGATGCGCAAGTCCGAGGACGTCACCAACGAGGAGTACGCCTCCTTCTACAAGTCCTTGTCCAACGACTGGGAGGACCACCTCGCCGTCAAGCACTTCAGCGTGGAGGGTCAGCTGGAGTTCCGTGCTTTGCTCTTCGTCCCCCGCCGAGCGCCCTTCGACCTTTTTGAGACCAAGAAGAAGCGCAACAACATCAAGTTGTACGTGCGACGTGTGTTCATCATGGATGACTGCGAGGATTCTGTAGGGCATGGGGGTGCTGCGCTTACTACTCCTCTGCGGTTCCGTGGCACTAGGTCTAGGCCCTAGAAGGGTAGCGCTCATGGCTTTTTTCTCACAAGGCTGGCAACACCTTATGGTTTGCAGCAGTTTCGAAACCATGGTCTACAAGCATCCCTGCGGAAGGGTGTTTGCTAGGAAACTATTGAAACTCCCGCGATGCGTGCCTGTGAGGAGCTGATGCCTGAGTGGCTGAACTTCGTGAAGGGCGTGGTGGACTCGGAGGATTTGCCTCTGAACATCTCCCGCGAGACCCTGCAGCAGAACAAGATCCTGCGAGTCATCAAGAAGAATCTCGTGAAGAAGTGCCTCGAGATGTTCGCAGAGATTGCGGAGAAGAAGGATGACTACAAGAGACTCGGCTCTCTAGTTCATATGCTTTCGTCATGACAGGACTTCCCAAAGATGCTTTTGATATTGAGTCCCGACACCCTAAACCTTAAACCCTAAACCTCTGAGTCTTCTCTTGACAAGGAAGTTTTACGAGCAGTTCGGCAAGTGCCTGAAGCTGGGCGTCCATGAGGACTCCACGAACCGCACCAAGGTGGCGGAGCTGCTACGTTACCACACCTCCAAGTCTGGGGATGAGCAGATCAGCCTGAAGGAGATTTAGGGGTTATTAAAGGGGACTCTAGTATTTCTGGGGTCCCCCATTTTTTGGGATATGTAGGGTTTATATAAGGATAATTTAGGGATATATGATCCCAACAATGAAGAATCAAATGCAGAAGAAAATGGAACATATGATTCCAATAATGAAGAATCGAATGCAAAAGAAAGTGGAACAT